TTATAATACGTAATATTCAACCGCAGTACGAGAAAACTAATACTAATATTAACGTAAAAAAAAAAAAAACAGTATTTGTATTATAAGGTTTTTTTTTTTAACCTGAATATAATATACTGCGTTCGTATATTGTGTATTGCGTTAATGAAATTGCTACTTGACTACTACTTATGAAGTTGATGAATTATTAAGCAAAAATATAATGATTTATAAAAGAAAGAAGAAAAAAAAACGGAAATAAAAAATGCTACTTACATTGTAAATCGTATTATACGCGTAACGAAAAACAATGCGCAAAAATAGAGCGTATATTTTTGTCTAAAAGTTTTCAAAGAATTTGTAATGTAATGAGCAACTGTTTTATTAAAAAAAAAACAAGTGGAGGGTAGATAACTAATATATACGTAATATGCATTTAGCACTCGACTTATAAATTCACCTATACTTTTTTTTCATTTTTTTTTCAAGCGTGTATTGTTCAGTTTTTAGCGCATAAATTACGTTAAATTTTTATATCAATTCGTTATTCTCTGCCGTAGTATTCGTCTATAACATAATATTATATTTATAACATATTTACAGCGAACATTCCGTGTAACAAACTTACGTTTAACCAAACACTTTCGGGAACCGTCGTGACCTCCGCCGTTAATTACGACGAGTAAATTTATTTCTGTACAATGAACACGACGTTTCTGTAATACTTTAACGAACGAACAACGATTCGGATAACAAAACGCAGTTTTCGCACATTACGTACCTTAAAGTCAATGTCAACACGACGTATTGCCTTTGTTGTTTTCGGAGTGCAAAGTATTCGATATCCGATAAAGACGCGAGATGTCGACTCGCGACGTTATAATATACAGGAAGACGGTAATTTTACTGCAGTACCGCGATTGCAACGTACACGCGTATTGTAGACTCGTCGTTATACTCGTTTTCATATTTTTATTTTTTTTTTTTTTTTTTTTTTTTTTGCTATCCGTGATATTTCGTTATAACTTAATGCAATATAAATTATGGGAGTTTCAATATTTATATACAGGGTGATTT